AAAAGGAAATAACAGTGAATACAGCATATTGCTTATGTTGATAGCGATCGAAAAATAACCAATGATTTTTCAGTCGATAAACTCGATCCTGTAATTAACATTCTAGATAATAATAATAATAATAATAATAATAATAATAATAATAATAATATTCTTGTATCAGGTTGCATGGTATTGGCATCCACTGAATATAAAACACGGCATGACAGAGTGAGCCAATATCTGCACTGGAAAATCTGCAACTTTTACGGAAAGGAACGTGAAAGAAATTGGTATAATCACCACCCAGACCCGGTTACAGAGATAGGACCTGTAACAATTTTATGGGACCACGCACAGAGAGAACAATCAAAGCTAATCGCCTTGACATCGTTATTAGAGACCGCAAACAAAAAATTGCTTCCTGATTGATATGGCAGTCCCTGCAGACTGCAATGTATCTTTGAAGAACTTCAAAAAGCTATCAAAATACAAAGACCTTGAAATCGAAATCTCAAAAATGTGGCACATGAGAACATCAACAATCGTTGTTGTTATTTGAACCCTCGGATTGATTGGAAAAGATTCCAATAGACTCACTGAAGGGATTCCTGGTAGCCAACGCCTTAAAGAAATACAAAAAAATTGTTCTTACGAGTACAGCCCACACCTTAGGAAGGGCTTTATCTATGTAAAATATGTTTTTTTCTTTTTTGGGTTACTGTTTTTTTTTTTTTAATTGCTCAGTGTAAAATGTCATGATGCCATTTCTGACCTTAGGTCTCTGGGCGGAACCCGGAAAAATGTGTACACATCAGAAATCAAAGGAATAATAATAATAATATTAATAATAATAATAATAATAATAATAATAATAATAAATCGTCCACATATCGTGATCAAATACCACAAAAACAGTGTGTGCTTTCTTATTGACATAGTAGTTTTTGCAGGCTGTAATATATCTGAAGATTTAAAAAAGAAATATCAAAATACAAGGATCTTGAAATAGTAATCTAAAAATGTGGCACATGAAGACATCAATAATTCCAGTTGTAATCGGAGCACTCGGATTTATTGGAAAATATTCTGCTAGACACATTGAAAGTGAACTTGGTAGCCTTTTCCTTAAAGAAATAAAAAAAAATTGTTCTCACAAGTACAGCTCACACCTTACGAAGGATTTTATCAGTGTAAAATGTCTGTGATCTTCGGTTTTAAAAATGATCCAGTGGGAAATGTAATGAAGCTATTTCTGACCTTATGTCTGTGATTCATACCTGGGAGGAAATGTGTATACAACAGAAATCAAATGCAATAATAATAATAATAATAAAAAAAAACTACCCAAGAAATTTGTCCAAATACAAGGACCTGGTGATTGAGATTAACAAGAGATGGGGAATGTAGACTGTAGCAATAGTAATCTCACACCTTCCATACTTGTTGAATATTAAACTGAATTAAAAAAAAAAGGTATCAAGATAACGGATCACCTGCTTTGTCACTTTGCTATAAATAAAAGCAGTTATAACGAATGAAAGTAATTTTTCTCTCTCTCTCTCTCTCTCTCACACAAACACACACACGCACACACACACACACACACACACACACACACACATATATATATATATATATATATATATATATATATATATATATATATATATATGATAAAATAGAATTTTAAGCTATTCTCTAATTATGCGTAAGGTGCTCAATATCAGGTTTGGTTTGGTTTGTTTTACGGCATATCAACCTCAATAGGTTATTTTAATGTCGACAACATTTTTATTGCTGATAATATTTTTTTTTCAAAAATATATTGATTCTAATATTTTTTTTTCTTCAGAAATATATTGCTTGTAATAATGTTTTCAAAAAAGTATTGCTGGTAATTATCTTTTACAAAAAAGTATTGCTGATATTAAAACCTATTTTTATACTTACATAGTGTTTTGACCCCAATTTTGGGTCAACTATTTGCCCATAGCTGTGACCCTACCAGGTGCTACCACCCCGGGTCTGGGTGGACCTAGGAACACCAACTATTAAGAGGTTGTTCCACTTTTCAGTTTTGCTATGGTGTCAACATTCTTGGGACCCATCTTGTAGACATCTTGCAGTTTGTGCCATGAACCATCGGCAAAAGTTCTCCCGTGGTGATTGATCAGAGGAGAAAAGACTATGCACACGTTGTCAAGGATACGAACACAGTAGCTATCCTTGAGGTAACCTCCATGCAGTATTATGAAATGTACAATAGGGAACACTTGACGTGTGTTGATATCTGGATAATTTCCAGCAGCCCGTAGAATGAGTTCTTTGTTACCAGGAACGGTGAGCGAATCTCGGTCATCCGCAATCCATAGTTTGTAGTGCCACTGACCCTGTCTCAGCAACGCGAGGATAAACACAACAAAGGTTGGATAACTCAGCTGCCTTCACTCTGGAAACGCAAAGTGATACAGCCATGCAGCCTCGCGTCCATTACCATTCCTGCGGCCGTATATAAAAATCATATTTGCCTGTTCACGATATGAACATCCTGCCATTGTTAAACAGAACACCTATCAGTTAACTCACCACTACATGTGTTAAACGTTGAAGACAGACTAGCCACAAATGTACACGAATGACAAATGTGATCTCGTCTACATGGCAAGAAGCTTTCTTTAAACTTAATAACTCAAAGATTTGCGGACATATGGTTATATTGACTTTTGTCTTTGTTTTAGTGTGAGGAACCCGCCCCAAAGTTTGTATATATATATATATATATATATATATATATATATATATAAGTGATAGAAACTAGGAGGATTTGAGATAATTATAATTAAGTAATTCATCGAGTCTAGAAGAAACCTCAACAAAATGCAGAAAGCACTGGACGGCCGTTTCGTCCTATAATACATATATTTATATTTTTTAATTCAATCTAAGCTTTCGGCTTACATAAACCATTATCAAAGATGTCAATTACTGTACAACATATAATTATATAACACACACACACATATATATATATGTATGTGTATGTGTGTGTGTGTGTGTGTGTGTGTATTATGATTTTTTGTAACCCTATTCTGTGTCATAAAATGTAAGCTGAAATTTCTCCTTTTTACAGACATCATAAAGATCGTAAAGGCTGTTTGATTGCCCGTTCTACACGCTGATTTCTTCTGGGAAATTCCAGTCTCAATGGATCTGGATTCCAAAAATTTTTCACGGAGTTTAATGCTTTTTTGTGAGTCTGCAAGCTGCTACATAGCTTCTGCATTGTAGAGACTCTTTTCTTTGGTAGAAGAATGCCAAAAGACTTAATATTGCTATAGAATTCCATCTTGAATTACTTAAGTTACGTATTTTTTTGCAAACGTCACTTTAGGAAATTTTCCAGTTTGTTCGAAAAAGCGGAAAACTCGAGTAAAATGAAATAGACATTTCATATCATCACGCCATCAAGCAGTTTCAATAATCACTTCTTTACCATTCTTGAGATTCTTATTGAACTGTCTGTAGTTCTTTACAAGTTCATGGATAAACGGATATTGGGCGATATTTTTCTCCAAGTTCATCATCCATTATTAAGCGAAGCACTCGATCAAGAACATGATGTTGAGAGCCAATGAATTGTGGTTCTTCCAGCAAATAATCTTTGTAACAAACAGAATAACAATCCCATTTCTGCTTCCAGTGTTCAAATTCATTGTGTCCACAACAATTATCTTTATGATCTTCCATAAATTATATACATTCAGAACAGCTGACAACAGTATCCGTTTTTTTTCCATTTGGTAGATGCAATTCTTCTTAAATTCTCTTCTTTCGTACTTCACAACAAACATTTGATATTCTTATTCATCAATTCGTTTACCATCAAAATTCAATGACCAATTTTCTAAATGAAGTGTGTCATGAATAATCAAGAGTAGTCTCCCTTTGCTTCGTAACTCTCCCCATTAAGAGAGCTATTTCTGTTTACTGGAACTATAAAAGGGCACTATACGCGAACTTTGTATTCTCAGTTGAATAAAGCTTTGTTAAAGCCTAAACCTGCGTACTCTTGTCATTACATAGTGTTTTCTTTATTTCTTCTTAAAGTTTAACAGCTTCTTTAATAGTGGATCTATAAAAACCAAATTGAGAAGGTGTCTCAAAGTAAGTCCTTTCTTAAGATAACCACCCACGAAAATTTGCTGCTTTGTTGGTTAGTAAGTTTGAAGATGTTACTAATTTGTTTGTAGTTTTAGTTTTGCTATGCTTCGTCTTTTTTTCTTTTATATCGTTCTTCAGATCTTTCGGACTCTTTATATTCACTCTCTGATTGGGACTCTGATTCAATCTCTGATTGGGACTCTGATTCAATCTCTGATTCGGAAATTGTTGTTGAAGTTTACTCCAAGGTTACTTTTCTTCTTTTTCACTGTTTATATTGTACTTCGTTTGCATCATAAAAGCTGAGGGCCCTTAAAACAAATTATCCTATTTAAACTGTTCTTGCCCATTCCTTCGTTAGTTCGCAATACCGTTACACCCCGCCAATACCTAACAAATATTTCGTTTTGATCGCGTGGAAAGAGAGGAAAAGACACTACTTAGTTACAGTGAGAAAATGGAAGAAAGAAAGAAAGAAAGAAACAAACAAACAGAGAAAGAAAGAAATGTTTAAGGACTCCTGCAAATACCAAATAAATAAATGACTATTCCATTTTGAGTGCGTGGAAAAGAGGGCAAAATCACTACTTGGTTTCAGTAAAAAGAAAGAAAGAAAGAAGTGTTAAACCTCTCCTGCCGATACCTCATAAATAATAAATTCCGTTTTGATCGCATGGAAAATGGGAAAAGACACGACTTGGTTTCATTGAAAGAAAGAAAGAAAGAAAGAAAGAAAGAAAGAAAGAAACATTGACTTGTATAAGACATCTGATCAGTAGCGAGATAATATAACAGTGTCGGAATATGCACTTCCGTATCTGACTTATTTATCAAGGAATGTGTTCTCACGGTTGCGCATGCGCCGGTGGCGAAAATCTTTCGCCAGTTGTTTCTCTCGAGCAGCTAGCAGCGTCTGCGATGAAACGAGTCGTCCAACAAAAATGGCGGTACTCTTCTGTAAGGGAAAAAAATAATCAACAGCAACAAGGGCGACAATTTCGACGACGACGACGAGACAACAAAAACAATAACAGTTCGCACATAATCGATCGATAAGACATCATGGCAGACAAAAACGTTCATCTTCCGCTTAAGAATTTGTCAGTCAACGCCATCGCTTACCAGACACGCCGCAGTATTTATCACTTTAGACATATCTCTTTGTCTCTGTCCCTTATTGTTTGAGTGCGTCACTTGTTAGAAAGATAATCGCCTGCATTTTTCTTGCCTCCTTTCGTTTCCTACTCTCTGTTGTTTGTTTGTTTTTTTTTTCATTTGTCCTATTTTGTTCAGTTCTGTTTTGTTATTTTATTTTGGGGGACGTATTTTTTTTTTTAATAAATTTCTTTATTTTCTTTATTAATTTAATTTCAAATTCCGATTTAAATTCTTTTTTTTTTTAACAGTAAAACTTCTTGAATCTCTTTTCTGTGATCATTCTTCCACTGCCACCTCCATCAGTTTCCTTTGTTTCATTATGTCGTTCTTTCTTTCTAGCCTTTCGTTTGTCATTCTGTCGTCATTATTGTTCTTCGACGATCGCAGTTGCGATTTCGTTTTTAACGGGTTTGTCATTCGTCATCCTTTCTTTCTCCGTTAAAAATTTAAATTTTGCCATTTGTTTTTCTTCTTTTATTTATTTTCACATTTTACATATTTTTATTTCTTCCGAATTTCTTTGATTCCACCTGATTCTATCTCTTTGATTCGTTCATTTACTTTTATATGGTTAATTAATTTCCTTCTTTTTACTTTCCTTCTTTTCACCGACACATATCTTTGTTAATTCGTTTCATCTCTTTTTATATTGTTTCGGATTTGTTTTCTTTCTTTCTTCCTTTCTTTCTTCCTTTCTTTCTTATTTTCTAAAATTCCTTAACTGTTGTTTTTGTTTTTATATTATTTCCAGAGTTTTAGTTATTTCTTTTAATTGTTATCGTTAGTACAGGTTTTCTTTCTTTTTCTTTTTCCAAAATTCCTTAACTGTTGTGTTCTTATATTATTTCCAGAATTTTGGTCTTTTCTTTTCATTTCCTTTCTTTCATTATTGATTTATTTATCTATTTCTTTCTTTCTTTATATCTTTCTTCATTTCTTTCTTTCTCTCTTTCTTTTTTTTAATCTGTCTTTTTTTCCTTCTGTTTTTCCAAAATTTCTTAACTGTGTCTTGTTTTTATATTATTTTCAGTATTTGACTATTCTTTTTAAGATTCATTTTTAGTACATTTTTTGTTTGTTTGGTTCTTTATTTATTTATTTATTTCTCTTTCTGTCTTTCTTTCTTTTTCTTTCTTTCTTCCTTTCCAAAATTCCTTAAATGTTTTTCTATTCTTTCCAGAATTTTCTTTTTCTTTTCATTTTTCTTTCTTTACAGACTTATTTATTTATCCCTTTCTTTTCTTTCTTTATTTTCTTTTCCTTTCTTTCCTTCCAAAACTCATTAACTGTTTTGTTAATTTTGTTCTTTTAATTTTAACAGTCTTTCTTCGTTCTTTCTTTCTATGCAGTACTTCATTTTATTATTTGTTTATTATTCCTCTATATTGTTTCTGTGTATATTTGTTGTTTTTTGATATCTTGCCGTTTATATTTCATCTTTTTCTTAGACTTATTCATTATTCTTTGCTTCCAAATTATTTCATTACTTCTTTATTATGCCACTACATTCCTTCCTCAATTTATTTTTTCCTTTCATATTTTCCTCTTTGGATCCATTCAGAACTTATTTATTCTTCCATGCTACCTGCCTAATCTTCGCTTTTTAATCTTGATTGAGTTCAGACGCGTCCTAACGGGTGGTGAATTATATTACACACCACAAGCCCTTCCCCCACAGATAAAACGTTGCGAACCTCTCGCCTCTCTATTATTATTTCCCTGAAAAATGTACTGACGAGCTATTATTTTCACTAACTAAAACCCGACATGTCACATCCAACAACCCTGCAGCTATTCTGAGCATACTTTAGTTTCTGGGACAGTGCGCACAATCCTGTGCGCGTAGTATTGTCCTTCGCTTTGGTACAGGGTCTTTGATCTTTTCTTTTGCTTATCCAAGTATCTGGTTTCAGAAACGAAGTTAGCTAACTGACCAGTCCTTAAGAATGCCGCTTTTAATGGTGATGAGATTTCAAGGTGATGATAAGTTGAATATACGTTTCAGAGGATTTAAGAAATATTTTTATTTTATTCATTAAAGTTTACCTACTATTACAAAGGCTCGAATAGGAGATAGGACATTAGTACATACAGTGTGACCATAGGACTCAATACAGCATGATGACTGTCAATTTTCTGCCTCAAGCGATCTTCATACCAAGTACGACTATGCGGTTTTCGTTCCTATAGCCACACATAATCTCTCAATTTCTCTCTCTCAAAATATATATATATATATATATATATATATATATATATATATAGATAGATAGATAGATAGATAGATAGATAGATTTAAATATATTCCAAAGGTGCCGGAAAACCATACTACGGGTTGACACAACCCTTGTGAGGGAAATTGGGTAGACGGAACCCTTGGAACCGTCGATAGCTGTGCTAGCAAGAAGTTAAAAGTCATCGTGACCGATGGTTTGAGTGTGCTGGCCTTGTTCAGATTATTGATCACGCTAGATAACACGCTCTCTCCCAGAAACAGTAACTAAGGTTTCCTCAGCTTAGTTGCAGCATAAACCACACATTGGTTCTGTGGGTGTTGAACAAACAGAAATATACCTGAGTGAGCGTCTGCAATAGGGATTGGCTAACCGCCCTAATAGACGGGTATCATCGAATACAGTGTTATTTTATTTTATATATATATATATATATATATATACAGAGAGAGAGAGATATATAGAGAGAGAGAGAGAGAGAGAGTGGACATTGAAGTAAACCCCGCAAGGGCGACAGTCATGGCCTGACGGTTACATTTAGCATGAAACAGACTTGGGTTTTGACTTCAATGTCCACTTTTATATTTACATACACTATATCCCTGATACTGAGCGCTTTAACACATAAATATAGCATACCTTAACACTATACTTCATCATATATATTTATATATATATATATATATATATATATTTATATATATGTGTGTGTTTGTGTGTGTATGTGTGTGTATTCTCTAGCGTAGCAGCAGCAGCAGCAGAAACATTAAGGCTCTTAGCATCCAACGACACTTTAGGTGGATTTGGTTATGTTAACAGGATGACGAAAGACCGTCTATTAAAGAGGATCCTATATGAGGAAATTCTCAGAAGGCCAGCGCTATATTGGAGGAAAGAAAAAAAACATTTCAAAGACCACCTGAAAGTAATGCTAAAACAGTTCCGTATTATTCTTGCGGGACAGGAAGTTAGAGCAGCCAATCGTTAGAGAATTTTATGCCGTCAGGCCATTGAAAGATTTGAAACTCAATATCAGGAATTTCGGCGGAAACAACATCATGATCGCCTGATGCGCGCGCCACTGCCAACAGGTGACGGCATTTAGTATCCAACCTTTGGACGGTAATTGTGCGATTCAGTTTAGTCTTCGCAGCCATCAACCATCGTCGTCATCGATAGACTTCATATATATATATGTTGTTTTAATGTGTACTATGTTAGGGATAGAGAGTATGGAAATGTGAAAATGGACACTGAGGTCAACACCTAGCGACGACACATTTTTTCATGCTGAAACGCAATTGTTAAGCCTGAAGATTCCGTTTAGGTATGATACAAGCAGTGGCCGCTGGGTATATATATATATATATATATATATATATATATATATATATATATATATATATATATATGTATTTATGTATGTATGTAGCACTGCTAGCTTTCTTTAGAGTCATGACTGAGGACTAATGAAGAGAAAACAGCCAACGCACAATAAAATTGGTAAAGAAAAGCCCAGCACAACACTCAGAAATAATCCTTTTTCGGCTTAACTCGCTTCGGTTCGGGAGTTTTGATCGATATATATATATATATATATATATATATATATATATAGTACAGGTAATAGATCTGTTGGTATATAATCCAGGTGGATCCTGGTAATATCAGATATTAAAACTGATCCACTCAAGAGAGCCTAATGTATTAATTATAACAGAGCATATATATTATGCAGCAAAAAATCCCTGATTACCTCATGGAGGTATAGTCTATTTCAAACCGGCGCAGCCAGGACTGAAGAGGACTGGCACAAGGTATTTAAAGAAAATATGTTAATCATGATAATTACTATTTTCATCATGTTTGAATATAGCATTCTAAATATTTACCCACTTTCATAATTTGAGTGTGTTACAGTTTTTTGTATATATATATATATATATATATATATATATAACTAGGATATTTATTCCGTTATTTACAGAATTGTGGCACAAGGCCGAAAAGGGGAGGGGTAGAGGCTGGTCTTCACTAACTATCTTATACCTAGCTAATCAGATTCACGACCCATTCATACGTTACAATTAACCCATTCACCACAAGAACTTGTCCATCACCACTCAATCCTTCATGCACCATAATACCAGATTCTCACAAGGGGGACCTACCAAAACGCGCCCCAATCCATAAAAATTTGATGATGATAAAATGCTATACATAAAATTCTAATAATGATAGGACAAGGGGAGGGAGATGAACCAAAAATAACTAAAAATAAACAAAATTCAAACTAAACATAACATATGTTAGTAGGGACCGTCCAACCCCTCAAAAACAGAGAGGCCGCTGTATTCTGCCCAAAGGGCAGAATCAAGAAGCGCTCTCGCTAAGGGAGTGGGAAAGGATAAAATATTATGCCGGAATGGGTAATATAAAACTGACCCAGTCAAGATAAAAAAGAGGACCAAAACAAACTGGGAGGTTGGGAATCTCGACTTGGACCATAACCAAAGAGCAGCCGGGATACAGGCCAGGAACAACACTTACTCACATTAACTAGGTACACTGAAGCTTGTCTAACCCTAACCAAGGGAGGGTTCCACAGGAAGCCACCCCTGATGTGCTATAGGTTGACTTTAAAAAGAAAATCAAGGCTAGCCCCGGTCACACGAACCAGGCTTGCTACTTTTACCCACCTTTCGCTGAAGACTGTCGAATGCAATCGTTTTCTATCAGATCTAATCTTCATCTTGAGCTGATGCTCAAAGAATTGGATTAGATGCTGATAAGAAAGACGGTTGCCCCGCAAGACTTCCTCCATTCGCGTCGTCCAAATCACCATTCGAGCCGTGGCCATCAGCATCAGAAACACCATTCGTTTCTCCCCGGAATATGGGGCGACACATTGTCACACGCGTATGCGCGATCCATGGACACTAGCTGTTCGGGAGCGAGACGAGCCGTCAGCTCGCCGACATGGTCCCATAAGGGCGGACCCGGGGGCAATGGTAGAAGGCGTGCACAGCCGTTTCTTCTAAAAAACCAAGACCACACCGTTCACAGTCTGGCAAATCCGCCAAACCCCATATGAAAGCCTTGTCATTGAGAGGCAGCCGATTCCGAGCCAATCGCCAGGTAAGCGAAAACTCAGGGTTACTGAGGTAATCCGCCGCTGGCGCCCAAGACCAATAGGAGCGATACTCCTCCTCCGACAAGCCGAGCGTATCACGTAGTTTATCCTTCGCGCGACCCTCCACTAAACCACACGATAGAAGACCTTCCTAGGCCGTGAAAGGTCACTGGACGGGGAATGGCCCTCAAAGGCCAACCGACACTCGTGGATGAAATCCGACTCATCCCGGAGCCTACAACGGCGCTCGGCCCTCGAGATGGGGGGGACTGATAGTAAGGCTAGGGAAGGCGTCCCTAACAATCCCCTCCAGAATCGGATCTCCCTAGTCAATGCGCGGCGTAGGAAAGCCAACCTAGAGGCACGGATGTGACTCATAAGGTGCGGCATTCCCAGCCCCCCCATGACACGGACGTTTGGTGCAGACTCGTCTGTCGACCCTGTTCACGCGTCCCTCCATAAAATGGAGGATAGCGATCGCTCGAGCACCTTCCTGCGGTCTTTACAGAGAGGAAGTACGGACAACCGATAAAGAATCAGGGGAAAATGTATAACACACACCTCCGCCCTGCCCTTCACGGACAACCGCCGTCGATTCCAAGTCTGACCGGCAGAATCGACCTTTTGCACGTACTTCAGACCAATTCTTCTCCAGCTGGAGGTCGGGCCCAAACCACACTCCAAGAATGCGGACAGGACCGTCCGTCCAACCGAAGCGGCCCGGAAGATCGACCCCTTCCAGGCACCCAACCGCAAGCCGGACGACTTGTCGCGGTTTATCTTGGCCCTGTCACCTTCTTTTTTCGTACCGATCAAGCGCCTTCTGTACCGCCTCAATGTCGCTATATATATATAACTAGGATATTTATTTTCAAAAAGAATTAAATGGAATTGTGGCACAAGGCCGAAAGGGGAGGGAGAGGCTGGTCTTCACTAACTATCTTATACCTAGCTAATCTGATTCACGACCCATTCATACGTTACAATTTACATCATTCACCACAAGAACTTGTCCATCACCACTCAAACCTTCATGCACCATAATGCCAGATTCTCACAAGGGGGACCTACTAAAACGCGCCTCAATCCATAAAAAAATTTGATGATACATAAAATGCTATACATAAAATTATAATAATGATAGGATGCAAGGGAAGGAGATGAACCCAATAATAACTAAAAAATAAACACAACATTCAAACTAAACATAACATATGTTAGTAGGG